GTTTCCTGCCCTGCGAGGAAGTGGGGTCGGCGGTCCGTGTGGTGCCGGGCTTCCTCTCCTCGGGACAACAGCAGGGCAGGCACTTTGAAGTATTATTAAATAAAGACATGAAACCTCTGCTGAAGGTCCTCCCTCTCCCGGTCTTCTTCTTCTCCTTCTTCTTCTTCTTCTTCTTCTCTTTTCTTCTTTTCTTTCCCCCCTCCCAAATTGTTAAAGAGAGAGAAACCCTCCAGCCTCATCGGGATCACAAAAAAAAAAAAAAAAAAGAAAAAAGAAAAAAGGAAAAATAATAATAATAAAAAAGAGAGTAAAGCCAAAGCACTGGGGAGGAATCGCAGTTTGGGAGGGAGGGGGGGCACAGTGGCCTGCAGGGTGGGACAATACTCCTATCAATGGAATGGCTAGAGAGATGGGAGGTGATGAGTGTCAGAGAAATCCCTGGTTAAAGTCTGAACTACCCAGGGCATAAAAGAGAAAAGAAAAAAAAAAAAAAGAAAAAAAAAAGAAAAAAGGAAGAAAAAAGCGAGCCACGACATTAAAAAACCCCAACAAAAAAAACCCACCCATGCATGGAGATGAAAAATATACGTACCTCGCTGTGCCCGGGAGCGCGTCCAGCCCGCACGTGTGGCGGGGGAGAGGTTTGGGGGAGCCTGTTATGTCTTCATAGCGGGCAGGAAACGTGGACGAGTTTCTGAAAACAAAGGGGAAACTTAAAAGGCTGTTAGGGGTTTGGGGAGGTCTGGCCAGAGCCGAGCGGAACGGCTGCAGCCCCCCGGCTGCCCTCGGCGGGGGCTCGCCCGGGTTGGGGGCAGCCCCTTTGGCCGCCGAGGAGCCCCTCCGGTACCGGCACCGACCGGCAGCGGCACCTCCGGGCTCGGCAGCTTCTCGGGTTGGGGCGAGAGCTGCCGTGATTTATTTTATTTCGGTTCGGGCCGTTGTCATCTCTGTTTCTCGGGTGGGAGGTTAGTTCGCCTTTGGGTTTGGGGTTGGTTTGGGGTTGGTTTGGGGTTTTTTTTTGTTGTTTTTAACAGCACCGACGATTAACACTGAAGCGAGACAGCGCGAGGGAGGTCTGGCTCGGGGAGGACGGCGGGGGCAGGTAGAGGCAGGGCAGACCCCCGAGGGGCGAGCTGCCCTCCCATCGCGGGTGCCCGGGGAAGAGCACAACTTCTTTTATGGAAGAAGCCTCGATTTTTAATTTTTTTTTAATTTTTTTTTTTATTTTATTATTTGAGAGAAGCCCATGAGGAGAGAGCAATTCCCAGGGAAATCACTCCGTCTTTTCAGGAGGTCTCCGGGCAGAGTTAGGAGAGAATTTTATGATTAATAATAACACTAATCATAAAAATTCAAACCACCAAGCCAAGCTGTTTTTCACGGTGAACGAAGAGTTACGCCGCCGGAGGAGAGCCGGCCAAGTGGGGTGACGGCGGGAGGGCAG